CTTTTATCAGAAGGAATCGGAGTCAAAACCTCTCGCTGGTTACTAGCCCACTTAGTCAGTTTGAACCCGCACGACCTAGCCGGTAAGTCAGGCCACTGATTATGCTACGTGCTTCCGTTTGATTATTGACAGACAACAACAAGTCGTCCACATAAAAACTGCTTTGAACTGCACCGGTTATCGAGGAAGGGTAATCGTGGCCGTATAAATCGGCTGTCTTCCTCTAAGCAAAACTCGCACAAAATGGAGAAGAGACCACTCCGAAAGGGTGAACCGTCATACGATACTCCTAAACTAGTTGGGTTGGGTTACCCTCAGACCATCATAGAAATTTGAGAGCCGTCCGATCCGATTCTGAAACTTTGACCTGCAAAAACATATCCTCAATATCCGCAGTAACGGCAATAGGCTTCTGACGAAAGTGAAGCAGAACCCCGACTAGGCTGAGCACGATGTTCAGTCTTTGGAGTAAGTGCATATTCAAGGACTCCCCTGAATAAACCGCTGCACAATCAAATACAACCCTTAATTCAGAACCGCATAATGTGGTAGATACCACTTGAAGCCAGTATCATTAGCTTCCGTCTCTTCCTTTTTGCATAGCCACTTTCAGAATATCTGCCGATAACCGTAGAAAATTTATATCAAATGCTTTGGTCAACTTGGAACTTTCTACCCAAAGAAACTAAAAGCCTCAGTGTTTCCGGGTTTATTACACACGCTTTGCAGCTTATCGTCTCTCCACCGCAATGCTACACATAAATGTCCCTCCACTTCTCGCACAGACTTTTCCGCAATGATAACTGCGCGTGCATCTTCAGCTAACTGAGACAAGTCACTTGAGACACATTCGGTGAATTCTTGATTGTAAAGCCGGCAGATATCCTGCTCAATTTTCTTTGATTTGTGTACTGCACACATACGCACACCACCGTTGTGACTGCGATCTATCGGTCCCCTAAGGACCCAACCTAAAGGTGTACGATCTGCGTATGGATCCCCTTTCTTTGCTCGTTTTTGTTCCAGTATCCAATGTGCTTCGGGCACATTAAAACCAATCAGCACACCAAATATCGGACAGCTGGTTTTGGGAAAGTCGACTCCCTTTAGGTGGCTCCATTTAGAAAGCGTTCCAGCACCTGGTGTTCAGACAGGACTATTGAGTACAGACGCGGCGGTGTATGCCTTCTGAACGTCTATTTCTTCGGCACTATCCAATAACTTTACTCTAAAGGTTAAACTGGAACAGCTTTTGCGGATATTCCCTAATGGCGTGTTCATGAAAATGTCCTCTGGTTTACCCTTTAGACCTAATTGATCTGCTAGGTCAGCTCGAATCAGGGAAGTGCCTACTCCTGTGTCCAACAGGGTATTACTTATCGAAGACCCCGTAGGACCCTCAACAATTACTGGGATGATTCCCAAACTCACTCAATAGCCACCAAAATAAGGGATCACACACCTAGGCAGCTCGAATTGGTTAACTAAGAGATCGATCCTGCCCAATTTCTGTTCTGAGACATCAGTTAGTCTAAGTTTAACCCTCAGTTATACAGCTTTATTACGAATATTCTCAGGTGTAACGCTATCTGAATAAGGCTCGTGACCTCTTGGAGCGACACTGTCTATATTGTAAGGTCGCCGAATAGTTTTGACAAAGTCTGTTTTATCTTTATGGCGTAACCTCTCAGCAGCCCTATGTTTGGCTGTTGCCGCACTACGCATCGCCTCTGCTGCCTCTACCTCGAGTTGGGCACTTTCCAGCTCTAACTTGACATCACTATGAACATCAACATTGTCATAGTCTGGGCAACGATAGTCAAACTTACCAGGGGGAGGTGCACCGGCAGCATCAGTCTGAGACTCGTAATCTGAAGAATAGTGACTGGATGGATCCATAGCACAAATAAAGAGGGAGAAATAAAGTACAACGGTAAATCGCTCATCGGGAGCAAAACCACGTGAAACCAAACAAATGTCACAGCTCGACCACAGTCGAGACTGCAAGAGGGGAATCGCATAAGCAACAAGGGTATAAACACAGAAATGTTTGCTTGGCACAAATCCAATTACTGTTAACAACTTTCAACTAATCGGTAGACGAATCCTGAACCAATTCAAATATCGTTGCGTCCGCTTGAGCTCGTAAGTCCAATACGCGTAGTAAATTACACCAGCACCGTGATCTAGCACGAACAGGCTTGAACTTTGCAATAACGATCACTCCTCAAGTGGAATGAACAAATTTGCACGCGCTATCGACGATAAATTCCGAACTGGAACGAACGTATTCAACCCGATAACGAACGATTCCAAGTAACCTAAACCGACGAGAACGAGCAATGAAAACACAAATACAGACGGTGGACCACGACATTTATACGGTATCTAAAACACATTAGATGTATGCTCACCCAAGCAGAACGCAGAAAACAATCCAACACCAAGCTCAACCGAGCTGACCAAGCAATATATTCTGGGTCGAACGTCGAAAACGTTATGTTGGAACGTTTAACCAAACAGAAATTTACAAACAGCAAAGATTGGAAATGACAGGAAACAAACAGTATTAAATAAGACGAATAGAAAAAACTCATTTTTACTACGGTGCATCAGCTGCCGTAACACCTATATTACCAGGATTGCTGACCAACGTCAAGGTTTGTAACTCTAGGATTTTATTCATGGGGCTCTATGCGTTGGTGTATACGTATGGTGTTGACTCCGTTTGGAAGGTAAACGCTGGTTTCCATGTTCTGTTCTCTGGTCGACTAGATCCGGCTTATAGAAGACCGAATAGTCGTTTTTTCACTTATTCTTTTTGGGGTAATGGTTGAGGTCACAGCCCCTTTCAGGGTCCCGAATAGGAGATATGTTTAATTCCAAAATGGCACTATTGATGGGGGAGAGCGCCCTCATGGCCACTTTCTCCTCTCGTGGTCCGCTCTCGTGGCATTTTACCTAGGTGGCGAAGATATGTTTGGTCTTGTGCCATCCCCGCAGGAAGTTGTGTTTCATGCCCTCGTCAAAAAGCACTACTGTGATGAGCCTAGGTGAAGTCAATCTGCTGAGGTGAGTGGGCCTAGGTAGCCTTATCACACGTTCAGATGATACGTCGGACAGACTAGATTTTTCCAAAATGTTATGTAATTTTTTGCTTTCGTGCAGGCATTGACTAATTTCCCCCTGAGCTTTTGGTATGCCTCGCATGATGACCGAGCCGAAGTCACACTCGTCGTTATGCATTTTAGTGTCTCGCCTCTGCTGGTGTTCGCTCCACTGGAGGTCACGTATTATTCTTATGTGACTCCAATCTGAAGTAAGCAGAATGGGCGAGCGAAGGAGAATCTCCGATGCACCCAGTCTTATTGGTTTGTAGGCGTGAGTTTTAGTTGTTGCGTCACCACTGTTCAGTCTGTGATGCTTGATTGCATCAAGTTGTATGCCCATGTGGCGCATTAAATCTGATGTAGGTTTCATCCTGTTTATCCATAGCTCTAAGAGACTGATTTCTCTCTCCGGCACTCTGAAGATGATGACGCTTCCGTGTCGCATGTTGTTATTTTTCAAGGCAGGCGTGCAGGTGCTTCTGGACACCTGCCTTAATTCAGGTCGCTCCTGCTGTTCAGCTGGTCGCACTGAGTTGTTCACCCCGGTGAGATTGTTGAATTGCAGCTTGGTGGGATCTTTATCCTTCCCTAAGCTCGTCACTCGTTTTTGTTTCAGAGAGGTGGTCGGCTCTCCCTTTGGTGTCGACACAGTGATGGATGCACTTGTCAGGGGCTCCGTCGATAGCGTCTCTCCTAGCCGAATTCTGAAGGTTTGCCTGTTCAAAAGCGCTCCTATACATTTAATGAGAGTCCCAGGAAGGCCAAAGTTCTCGAGCTTTTTAAGGAATAATCGGTGATTAACCGCGTTGAAAGCCTTAATAAAGTCCAAGCAACAAAATCGACTTTTTGGCCTTCATCTAACTTCTTTGTGTCTTCATCTAGGAAGCACAACAGGTTACTGAAACATGACCTATTTTTGAGAAACCCATGTTGGTTTGGTGATGGTACGTTGAAGCGCGCAACATGCTCACCTGAACCGTTTCTAACTATTGTCTCAAATCCCTTATAGAAGATACAAGTGCTTCTAACTGGTCTATAGTTCTCTGGCGCCTTTTGGTCACCTCCCTTGTGTATCGCCACAACTGTCGCCGTCGTCCAGTCTTTCGGTACCTCACCGAGTCTTAGGAATTTCTCGTATATTG